GTTCTTATCGTTCTTAGAAACATACTATATCATACGGCTCGAGTTTTGACTATTATATAAATAATTAATCATATACCATAATTACTTAATAATATTATATATTACCTGTAAGTAATAAATGTCATAAAAATAAGTATTATTTAAAAATTCAACACAATGTCGGCTAATAAATCTTTAGGCGTGGATCCTCAACGTTATACTGACAACCTAACCTAATATGTAAATATCTGTTTATGGAGTAATTTTTGGAATTTATTCAATACTCTACAATTTATGGATGAAGTGTTAAGTATCTCATGAGACGTTTAACATCAATTAACAGATCAGATTCAATTTTGCTATTAGTTTAATACTTTTTATTAATTAATTCATTATTTATTTTGATTAACATTGTATATAAACAATTCTCGGAATCTGAGATTAATGGAATATTTTTCTTGTTAAAAACTTTTTATAAAGAGATTTTATTCTATGTAAGATCTCTGCCGTTTAAATAAAGTTCGATTTAAGTTGTTGATGATTGGGATGGACACCACTTAATGCACATATATATACAATATCTTCACTTACTTTATGGATTATGCCCGACTTGGATCACTAGAGATGGGTGTATTAGTTATATTATATGTACAGTGTCATGAGCAAATCTTCTAATAATCTTTAAATGAATGACAGACATCCTTTGAATTTGTTTTTAGAAAAAATTTAATAACTGAAAAAGCAGTGATTAGTTTCGTTCTTTAAGGTATTAGTATAATTACTAATATTTGACAAAAAAATTAAGTTGAAAATAATTTACATTTTCAATATTTATTTTACTTAATAAAAATCTTAAACAATGTGTCTTATATAATATTGGGAATTCTAAAGTTATATTTTCGCAGAATATGCATATTAATTTGCATATATTTCCATTCGTTAACTGGTTAAAGTTGGTGTTTTTTGGTCGTGCCTTCTATATCCACAATAAACGTATCTCATTTCCTAGAATATTTGTGTTGTGTGATTTTCTTAATCTTTTAAATATTCCATTTTTAAACTTAATAAATCTCTAACGATTAAGACAATCTACATATAATAGATCTCAATGCACAATATTTAAGACGTTTTATATTTTTTTAATTTTATTGCACTGCGAATGAATTTCAAAAGAATTTGTACTTCACTTATTAGTTGATTTTTATTCAAACAAGTTTCTAGATCTAGTCTGACATGTTGAACATAAAGTTTCAATTGCATTGACTAGAATTTTGCAGAGAATGTATAACAAAATGCATTGAATATATTCATAGTAAATCGTGAATTCAAATACATATCTAAACATATAATAAATAAATGTTTTATTTATTATTGAACCTATACACTATGAGGGACATATTAGTAAGGTTAGGATGATTGTAATAAATTAGAGGCTATAACGTATATTGGCTGAATAAATGGACGAAACTGTATACCTATAACAACTTGCTTAATTATAATATATCTATATCAAAAATGTATATATACTGCGTTATCAAATCTCAAAATGGTTACAGACTCCTCGGTCAATTATTGCTTAGTCTGATGAAGTGATAAACAATAATCTAGTCAAGGTGTAAAGAGCGGTTTTGAAAATACCTCAAGTTAGAAAAGAGTATAAGTGCTTAAGTGCACTAGCCTCAAAACAGCTTAAACATAATATATATACATACCTAATATAAATGAATATATATATATATATATATATGAGTATGTTTACCTTTATGTATAAATGATCTCATAACTTAACTTTAGAACTGGTCAAGAAGAATGTGACGATCAAGTTTTTGTAATTCTAAAAAGATTAAGCCGACAAATTGATGTAACTGTGTGAACATAACATATAAATTAATTACTATCTATCTATCTGGCAAAAATTGTCAGGTTCTCTGTACAACTAATTAGGGTTTAGACTTCTAACTATTTGTTAGAGTAACAAACAACCATAACAACTATCTTCTCATCGAAATATGTCATTGAAGCAACTAAGCAACAATCTGTAAAAAAACATTCAGTATTAATTATGGATATAAAATAGAATAAAATAATATGTAGGCATGTGAGGGACCCTCAGTAGTAAATAACGATAAAGATTAATGATGGCTATAAATGTTTAATATCGGTGAGTTTGTTAAATCGTATTTTGGGTTCTATAGCAAATCTTCTTAGTCGACATGAATGTTTGATATATGATAACAACTCGTGTGCTAGTGAGTTCGGGTGATTTTACCATACAGCTTTATTCAATAGTTTTTGCTGACTGTATTGTTTCAAACACTGAAGCGATGTGGAGATCGCTCTATAAAGTACTAATTGGGATATACAATGGAGGAGCAGGAATGAAAGAAATTTTTTGAGACCAGCCTGATTTTGTAACGATGGCAGTAAAAGGGTTTGCAAAGGAAGTAGAGGAAGTGTATATATAAATTACAGATATAGACATAAGTATATAAGATATAGACAGTACATGATATTGTTATAGATAAATTAATAATTTTTCTTTTTTATTATTCTTTTGTTAAATAAAACACTAAATAATTTGTTATTGTTAAAAACCGTAAATATATTTTTAAATTATTCTGTATGCAATTACAAAAAAAAAAATAATAAAAATTTTGTAATTAAATATTTTACATCATTATCGTCATTATTTGAGATTTACATCTTAATTATTCTTTTATTACAATTAAAACTGTTATATTTAGTTGAATAATAATGTATTTTACTTAAGTGAAATTATATATAAAAAATTTTTCCGTAGTTTAGCGATAATGTAAGCTTGTGTTGTGGCTTTTGTCATGACTTTAAGGTAATTATCGTTGATAATTTTGTTGTTTGTTATTACGGAAATACATGATTTGCCAACAGTTTAGCTAAATTTATTGTTTTGTATATCGTGTTTGATATTTCACAGCTGATTTGTTAATTATTTAATTGAAAAGTACTTCACGTATTTATTATTTACAGTTATCGCTGCCCTTCTAAGCACGACAAATAATCAACTCATGTGTAGAAATAAAATGTAGTCGGTGACAGTTGACAGGTAACAGATGACAAATGACAAATGACAGGTGACATAGCAATTGTAGTTTTTAACAGTAAAATTGTTACACAATGAGAGAGAATCAGATACTTCTCGATTTAATCATGTAAACTGCGCCTCCGTAATTTTAAAACTAAGTTTGCAATTTTTATGTCGGTTTTTGTACTTACCTATATTTACATTGTAATGCAAAAATTAAATCCTATATAGTAATTATTAAACTCAATTATTTTTACTTTGCTTTTTATTTGTAAATGAAGCATTGTTAACAACGAATTAACAACTAAATGAATATGTAATGGAATTAATAACTAAAATAGGTAGGTGCACAAAATCCCCGTTAGTCTTAAAAATAATATATAAAATTACTATGAGAGTAGCGCTTCAGTTCGATAGTCGACTTAATTCTTATACCTACTTAATAATGTTCCTCCATTGATCTCAATTTTTTACTGCAGCTCTGAAGATATACACTCATAATGCACATAAATCATTTTTAACTGTCTCCATCGATCGCTTTCGACGCCGTCCTCTTTTGCGCGTTTCCAGGATTTTACATTCGATTGCATTCGATACTAATATTTACTATGAGAATAGTGTTTCAGTACGATAATCGACTTAATTCTTTTACTTCCTTATAAATGTTCCTCCATTGATCTCAATTTTTTACTGCCGCTCTAAAGATATACACTCATAATGCACATAACCCATTTTTAACTGTCTTCATCGATCGCTTTCGAGGTCATCCTCTTTTGTGCGTGTTCAGGATGGTATACTATGAGAGTAGCGTTTTAGTTTGATAGTCGACTTAATTCTTATACCTACTTAATAATGTTCCTCCATTCATCTAAATTTTTTACTGCAGCTCTGGAGTTATACAACCATAATGTACATAAACCATTTTTAACTGTCTCCATCGATCACTTTCGAGGCCATCCTCTTTTGTGCGTTTTCAGGATTTTACATTCGATTGCATTCGATAGTTCTTGTTATATCTTACCATCTACGCTTAGCCAATGCGTTATTATCTTGTCTTACACAAGAAGTATCAAGCATCTTACACTTAAACTAACCCAAATACACACTAGGTTCTCGAACATGTCAAGTGTGCATGCCTTCTTTTTTTTCAATAGACATATTCCCAAATTTATTTTCTTCAGAATATAAAATCTTTAAAATGATCATTGGTTGGTTTATATAGTTTAGTAATATCTCAAGAGACATTATAATTGATAATAAGCATTGCTCCATGCTCCATGTTCCAAGCATAGCTGGGGCCCCTTCTTTATCTTGCGTTCAATTTAATAAATTTAAAAATAAATTGTGGTTAATTTTTATGTTGAAAAAATACTTCCTCCAAAATCTTCATAAAACTTGAAAGATATAATTTAAGTTCATTGTACACAAAAATACTATAAATAAATATTTGGTACTATACTTGACTTATAAAATAAAATTAAATAAAAGTTGTTATAATATGTAATGATCTTCCTAATCTCATAAAATCGCAAAATTCACTGATAAGAAAAATATGCAATGTTTACAAAAAACAAAAAAAGGCTTATAAAAAACAAAAATAATTAAAAAAATTATATATAAAATATTATTTAAAAATAAATAATGAAAGAGTTGAGAAATCCACGAACAGTCAACCTATAAAGCGTGAGTTTGTATAAATAAAATCAACAACAAAGTCAACAGAAGTTGCTATAAATGGGTTGACCCCGTAAAAGATGCTTATCGTTTAATCAAAATCATATCAAGACTTCAAGTGTTGAGTGTAAATTTTCTTATACTCAATGCTTCAACTCATGAGCTATAAAATATTTTTTTATTCAACATTTTGCAATTGCCATGCAAGTCCGTAGTTTCTCATTTGCAATTTTTAATTTAATTTAGTTGAATTTAATTTTTTTATATATATTTTTATTTTCAGTTGATATTTATTGATTAGTAGCCGTCGCTGATTTTCCAATTTCACAGTTCAATGCAAAATATGGCGTGAGTGGAATGCGTAAATAATAGCGAATATATACATTATAAGTTTAAAATTCAATTTTATCCCGGATTAATGAGAAGAGTACTTTTAAAAAAATGAAACTTTTAAAAGTAACATTTAGTCCTAGCCAAATCAAGGCGCTGCTTTATAAAGATCTACTTGTGCGCTGGCGCCAACCGGTAGGACAGACTAAGTCCAAATAGAATAAGAATTATTATTCTAATGATTTTCTTCAATAAATTTTCAGTGGATGACATTTGTGCAGCTCGTGTTTCCATGTATGGCATTTGTACTGCTCTACCTCATACGTCTCAAATATGGTCCCGAACAAGTTGAAGATTGTCAATTTCCAACCCGTCTACTGCCCACTAAGAACAATGTCCTGCCTGGTTTTTATTCCTACATTTGTAGTATAGAGAATAGATGTCAAAATACGACCCCATATGAAGAATATTCTAAATTGGATAACGCACCGTAAGTAAATATAAGATATATTATCTATTGCTTAAATTTTGATAGCTAATGCAGTATAAATATTTTAATATAAAGTGCATTTTGTGTTATTGTAATATGAATTTTAACAGATACATAATATGGTTATATGGTTAATACAATATTAATAACGACAATTAAATATAAATAAGAATAAGAAGAAGAGTAAATTCAGAATAACAGAGAATTTAATGCGAGAGAGAGTGCAGCAAAAGACTTAATACCTAGCAGGCTAGCTTTATCTAAGCCAGAAAGTATGGATACAAATTAGGTAGATTGTGGATTAATAAAGAGGGAGGGGTATCGCGCAAGCCTTACCCTGGGCTAGCAGTAGACTCTGTGACCAGAGTCAGAAAAACCGCGATTAAAGAGAGGGATGATGGAGGGATCGGAGTCCCATCATCGAAATAGGGGAAAGATATGGGGGTCCTTACCGCTTCTAGTAATAAGCAATTTTTTACGGTTTGAGTACCATATTCCTCAAAAGAAACTTTAATAGATAATACTATATCTATTCTGTAGAGCCATTGGACAATCCTGCAAACTGTCAAGACTCCAAAACAGGCTATATATATATATACCAGAGTCAAGAAAAAGTTACTTGCGTATCTAATTATATGAAGTTTATTATCTTTATACCTATATTTTATTTTAAATAAAATAATATCTCAATACAAAGTTATACTGAAAAATCGTTTTTTGTAGTATGAAACCAATTATCGATATAGTCCAAATGTTCATTAATGATGACAATTTGTATAATGCGGTTATAGAATTACCTGAGAAGGGAAATTTTTTAAATACTGTCATCGCCATATTCACTGGAGGTCACTTAGATGCCATAAGAGGTAATAATAATTTAATGATCATTTTGTTAACGTGAATTACTCATATGTTTTATTAAACTACAGGAAATGTTGAAAAAGTCATCGATCTAGTACCTCAAGTGGAACAAATGTTAAATGGCAGTTTCGATATCAAAAAATTATTCTCAGGTTATTAATACAGTCCTTAATTTGTCGTTATTTTAATAAAACCGTAACCTTCACTCCATAATACAGATCGTAATACCTTTGTCAAAGGTGGTAATTTGCTTTGTGGTCATCCCTTTCCAAATACTGAGTCAATACCATTAGTTAATGACATAATATATTCAGAAGATTTTAGTGAAATCAATGATGATGAACTTAAAGCCATGCCAAGTAAGTACGAATATAATGTGTTAAGGAGAAAATATTATTATTGGTTTTTTTTATAGCTAAATACTGTAAGCGTCTATATCTGGATGTTACCAGTTCTAACCACGGCAAATTAACTTGGCACGCTATTAAGCCAATCATACATGGAAAAATTTTATATGCGCCATATAACGAGGATACCAAATCAATTATGAAATTTGTAAGTATATGTGGAAGAATAAGAAATATGGGAACGTCATTGCTTTAGAGGAAATATCTAATAGAAGTATTATCCATTAAGCAATAAATACAGATAACAGGTTTTGAATTATTTGTATTTATGTTATACACTTCATCTTCTTATTCCTCCTATTCCTTCTAGTTTTTAGTCTCAAGACTTTTTATCAATATATAGCAGCTACCTAATACTATGCTTCATTTTTATTCACATTTTATTAGGTTCCTATACCTCTTTAATAAAATTTAGCAAATATCTCTCAATAATTAAAAAAATATGTAAACGCGAATATATATTTTTATTTAAATATGAATATATTTTTAGTCAAATGCTACCTTTCAAGAACTGAACCGTTTGAAAATGCTTTCCATTGCTGTGGAACAGATCTTAGTAAAACTACGTACCGACGAAACGTTTCAAAAAGGACTTGAGAGTTTGTTAAAGTTAGCACAAACTCCATTCGTGAAAAGTTATATAGGCGATGATTTCAATCTGGATCAAATTGAATCAGTTATAACTCGAATACGCACTGATCCAATTGTTTTTGACGTCATATCAACAATAAAAAATATACTTGAATGCTTTTCAGTAGATCGGTTCGTACCACTGGATACTGAAGACGACCTAAGAAAAATGGCTTATCAACTGAATAATGAACGACTATTCTATGCTGCTATTCATTTCGATAAAACTGACGATACAGATATGGTTTATAAATTACACATGGACACAGATAATACACAACCAACAATTGAAAATAAAAATCGCTTTTGGTTTCCGGGACCCTCACGCAGTATGATACGTGATTTGAAGTATCATCGTGGTTTTGTGCAAATAAAACAAGTGCTTGATATGGGACTCATAAAACATAATAAAATGAAATTACGTAAATTGGGTGTGATTACTGAAAAGCCAACAAGCACTACAAAAAATCCACTTTCTGTCCAAATAATTACAGATGACGACGATGATGATGATGAAGATGATGATGATGATTGGTTTACCAATATAGATACTAGTAATACAAATAATAATACCATTACTTCACAACAGAATACGAGTCTACTATCAAACTTCTTTAATGGTATTAACAGTAGTTCTAAAAAACCACAGGTCGATATTGATTTCGAGGATCCAGAGGAAGACAATAATGTTACCGAAACGACAGTTACACCTATTTTCAATGATTATACTGATTTAGATTCAAATACAACAAACACAAATGATAATATGGAAAGTTTGCTTGAACTAAGTGAAAATGGTCAAAATATTACTAGTGACATAGCGGAAGAGGGGCAAAGTAACCGTCAGAAACGTCAAGGCATATTAAACTTTCTAATGAATTTAATGGATAATGAAGGCGGCGAATACGAGGTAGACAAATTAAGAATATTTACGAAACAATTTCCATACCCAGCATTCATAGATGATGAGTAAGTTTATAATGTCCTGATCTTAATATTTAATATGCTATTATTCATTTTAACTTTCAGCTTTAAGAATGGCATATATCTTGCTCAAGCTGTACAAGTAGCATTCTTCTTGGGTCTTATTGCACAAATTCAATCTTGTGTTCGGCACTTAATATGGATGCGTGAAAGTCGAAACACTATGGTACTATCAGAAAAATATACTTGAATTATTTTTTTCTATTTTGTTACTGAAATTTCAGATTATGCGTTCTATGGGTTTGAAACCCTGTTCAGAGCTTACTGCCTGGATTATAGTTACATTCGCTGAGTTAGTCTTCATTTTTACTACCATTACAATCATTGTTTACATTGGGGGCATACTGGCTTACACGAAATGGTTATTTATAATGATATATTTGCTTATATTCGGTGCCTGTCTGATAGCTTTCTGGTTAGTATCGACGTTTTTATAAAATATCCACCATATAAATATGCTTATATCTTCATGATCTTATAGCTTTATGTGTTCAACATTCTTTAACTCGGCAACAATTGGTGCTGTAGCAACTGGCATGTTGTTCTTCATTACTTTCTGTCCCTACATCATCGTTTTGATGTTCGATGCTACACTTAATACCTTACAAAATTTCTGTATAAATTTATCCTTCACTACCGCCTTTTCGTATGGATGGAGTCATATAATGCGCATGGAACTGCAACAAATTGGTTTATCCTTCACAGAAGTATTCCATGAGGGACTGAGTGGTGACTATGGTTATTCAGTCTTCATGATTATAATTGATACATTTGTCTATATTATTATTGGATGTTTATATCAGCGTTTTAAAGAAGGTACAAAATATGCAATACTGAAGCAAGACATGGAAGCAATTCTTTTAACTTCTTTTAGATGAATTCCGTTTTATTGAAGTACAACGAGAAGATTTGGATTCGAGCTTGGGTGCTACCATGACCAATGTTTCCAAAATATATGCCGACAACAAAGTTGCTGTAAGCAATATATCCCTTTCATTCCAACGCAATCACGTGACTTGTTTACTAGGCAGAAATGGTGCTGGAAAGAGTACTATAATGTAATGACCCATCTCAAATATATTTGAAATATTTTAATCTTAAATGTTAATTAATGTGTATAATTAAATTCTAACGATTTCTATTAGCAAAATGTTAACGGGTCAAGTTGTACAAACAGCTGGACGTGTAATACTCTCGCAGGCTTTAACAAGCAGTGATGACTACGATAAGGTTGGTGTTTGCTGTCAGGATAACATACTTATACCCAATCTCACTGCCCGAGAACACTTAGAATTGTATGCGAAGATCAAACTTAAGCATGGCTATAAATCAGAAGTAGAAAAAACTTTAAAGAATTTGGGCTTTGGCAAATACGAAAAGTATCAGGCTGCACAATTATCGGGTGGCTATCAAAGACGCTTATGTGTGGCTATAGCATTTATTGGTAAGTAGAGAGTACTGTATATACTGTTACTGAAATATTATTTAATACATGTTTATCTTATAGCATCACCAAATGTCGTTATACTCGATGAACCTTGCAATGGTGTTGACTCGAAAGCCCGTAAAGATATTTGGGAACTTATTGAACGCTTACGTAAAGGGCGTGCGGTGATATTCGCAACACATTTTCTAGATGAAGCTGAGTACTTAAGCGATAATATAGTAATAATGGGAGATGTAAGTTGGAAATTAATTTTATTTCACACAACAAAACTTATGAAGTTCAAATTCTAGGGTAAAATTAAAGCGAAACACTCCGCAGAAACATTAAAACATCACAGCACTGGAAGCTATAATGTCACAATGATTTGCGGCGATCAACAAACAGCATCTGATATTGAAAATTCTGCTAAAACACACTTAACAGATTTTAACATATTAGACAGAGTTAATGCAACAGAATTACAACTGCAGATAGCCTATGATCAACCAGACCCCGAAAATACTATTAACTTCCTAAAATACTTACAGGAATTGCAAGCTGCCGGTCGTATCAGTGAGTTGAGCATACAAAGCCAAAACCTGGAAAATATTTTTAAGGATTTGGATACTTGCAATGTTAAATTGACTAATGGACATACAGTCGAAATAATGAAGCCTATAGATCTCAAGAAAGATGTCAATGTAAATGTAGTACGTGAAGAACCCTTAACACGCTGCGAAGCTGTGCGTCATCTGTTCTGGAAACGTTTGATACACTTTAGTCGTAATTATCGTATGCTGCTGTGTGTGATTGTACTACCGGCTATATTTGAGTTATTAGCTATGTGGTTTGTGGCCTATCGTTTAGAGGATGATTTTGATAAAACGATAAATCTTAGCCGAGCGTCCTTATACCCGAAAACAACACAAATGCTAAGCTTGGAAAACGGTACTGAGTTCACAAATGATGTGTATGGTCAACTTAAAGAAGAGTGTTCAGTTGGTATGGATTGCAAAGAGTTTGTGAATTCTGAAAAAGGTTTTTATTGGATACTGGATACATTGAATGACTATCACGGTAAACGTTATGGTGGTTATACTTTCAACGAAAGTAAAGCAATGGTTTGGTATAACAATAAGGGATATCATGCTATGATGGCTTGGTTAAACGACTTGAATTCGCATCTCATGCAGGCTGAGATGAACGATACCAGTTATTCGATTACCACGTATAATGAACCATGGAAATTAGGTTATGGAGAGCTGAGCACTTCATCCATGTAAATTTTATCAGATAGGCATATTTACAGAAGTGCTTATTTATATTCGTTTTTTGTTAGATTACGTCAAGCTGGTGACTCCTGCATGGCTTTTATATTGCTCATCGCTTTCTGTTTGGTTGTAGCAGTAGCGGCGGTTTATTTAGTCAATGAGCGGATGAATGGCGAAAAATTGCAACAGAAATTATGTGGAGTGGATGCGGCAACTTATTGGGGAGTAGCTTTTATATGGGACTTTTTGGTTAGTTAAACATAAGTCTATACTGTTCCCAGTATTTCATTTAAAATGCAACTTTCAGGTTATAATCATAGCGACAGCAGTTTGCTCAGTTATTATATTATGCTTTGGTATGCCCGTTTTTGTGGATAGGCAACAGATCTGGGGATTGATTGTCTTGGCACTTTTCTTTGGGTAAATGTTTTTTCAAACTTCATCTATTTTTCTCAATTAATAATAACCATTATAACGCTGTGAAGTTTATAAATCTGTACCATGCACATCTCACTTTCAGTTTTGCCTGCATACCAGCTGTACATGTATTGGAAAAGTGTTTCACAGATGCCAGTGTCGCTATTGTAACCATATTTTGCATGAATGTCATCATACCACTCTCAACAATGGCCATCATTGTTTTACTTGGTGTTATTGGTGATACACCTACTTGGGATGAATGGCGTTATTTCCTGAATCGTGCCTTCCTTATCTTTCCACAGCATGCACTCGCCGATGGTCTGTTGGAATTGTGTAAAAATTATATGGTGTCTTTGGTATTTAAACGTTATGATATTAACTCCTACAAAAATCCAGTCAATAGTGATCTATTAAAACCCCACTTAATATCATTATTTGTGCTTGGCCTATTCTTTGTTATTCTCAATGTTCTAATAGAAAGTGGTTTCTTGTATCGTTGGAGAGATGTACTACGTCGTCGCTTGGATTGCATATGTGAAAGCGATAAAAAGAGCTTAGAGGAAGTGAAAATTGTTTCAATACAAAATTCACTTAAACGTAATGATCAATATGATGCACCGCATGCCTTAAAGGTTAATAACCTAAGTAAATCTTATAATCATGGGCAGTACGTAGTAAAAAATGTTACTTTTGCTGTTAAATCGGGTGAATGCTTTGGTTTGTTGGGTAAAAATGGTTCTGGAAAATCAACAATATTCAAAATGCTTTCAGGACAAATACAACCCAGTTATGGTTTGATTAACTACTTCAATGTAAGTATATGTAGAACTCAAACACAATTATTATTTATTTAAAACATTTATTTTTATATTTTTTGAAAAAAGCATGAAATTTCTTATTGTCCGCAAACAAATACGTTGGATTCATTGCTAACTGTAAAGGAATGCATAGAATTCTATGGACACCTACGCCGCATAAAAGATATACCAAAGGTAACTGATCTAACTGATCTTATAATGTATTTATATTACTCATATAGAAATGTGCCCAATGAACTATATACACATACTCTCTTTTGTATATATATATATATAAATCTCTAAGAATATTTAGAATAATACTTAATCAGTAATAAAATTTCATTAATATTTTTATTCATATAAATCGATTTCAAAAATTTCCATAAATCTATTTAAGCTTATAACCAATATTCTCGAGTATTATCAATTGGAAACCTACAAAGATGTTCTTGTCAAGAACTTAAGTGGTGGTAATAGGCGTAAATTAACTGTAGCGACTTCATGCTGTGGAAGTACTTCAATTGTGCTTATGGATGAACCAACTAGTGATATGGATCCAGTTACACGTCAAATTGTATATCGTACAATAAATGATTTATTAGAAGAGCAACGTGCTATTGTTCTCACATCCCATTCAATCTCTGAAATTGACAAAATTTGTCACCGCATTGGAGTACTAAAGGATGGACGAATAATAACGTGCAGTAGTCCAGAAACTTTGAAATTACAGTATGGCGGTTTCTATAATGTAACAGTATTTGGCGCTCCCGGTAAAATTGATGAAATAGCGAAGGTGAGATATAATAAATTATTTTATTTTTTTAAGAGGTTTCGAGAGTCCTTTTATTTTAAAGAGAAAGGTTAAGAGAGATTTATATATTTTTTAAACAATTTACTTTGTTTATTTTACTTTATTTGATATAAATTATTTATAGTTAATACGTGAACGTTTGCCACAAGCTGTGGACCAGCAAATCTATGCGCATTGCACTAAATTTAGCATCAAAATTGCTACGCCGACAACAGAGAGCAAGATTAGAGAGGTGAGTTAAACTAAAAAATTATATTTTTTTATAATTTCTATCTATTATTATGCAAATTTATGATTCCTTTTTTTTTTGAAAAAATATTTCTTTTAGAGTGGCATTGATATACCGACACATATACGAGATAATGTCGATGTTAAATTGCACTTATCAGAACTTTTCCAGATTTTGAATAATTTAACAGCAGAATCGAATAACGAACTACGCTATACTGTGAATCGATGCCGTTTGGATGCAGTGTTCGAGCGAATTTTGGACAATAGCGATAATGGCAACCTTACTAATTCATATACAGACCCCTCAACATATTTGGGAGGTCCATCACTGGGCTATATACATAATGGCTATATTGAAACTGAAACTGTGACGTAGTGCAGTAGGATTAGCTCAAAAGATTTTAAGTATCTAACAAGTTTTCAAGTCTCAAGTATGTATTCCATATACGCGTAAGCTTTAATAGGTGTAAAATATTATTTGTGATAAAATTTTGTAATTATTGCAAAGCTATACTGTAATTTATAAGAAGAGTTAAATTTAAGTTAATGATTTGGGTTTTTAAATTTTTATTTTAGTTTTAATAATCTAGATATGGTATAAAATGTTTGTAATGTTTAGTTGTTATTTGGAGCTGAGCTTCTATTTTTTATTTATGAATTCTTTTAGTTTTTCTCAAAGTATTTGGTGTTTTATATATTAATGTATTTAATTGACTTTATAAGAAAATTTTATAACCATAAAGTATGAGTAGCTAAAGTATTTATGTAATAAAAAAGACAAATTAAAATAGACAAAATTATTAAACCAAAAAAATTGCCGTTTTAGTCGTTATTAGCCTGATTTTGCTGACATATATATACTTGTCTACGACCTTTATCTTATCATGACATATTTTGCTTGCTATAGCTCAAAATGAAATCTCTTAGAAAACCTAACAAACAGTGATCATAAAAGCAATATCATAACAATAAAAAAAACGAAAGTTAAGCGAAATTATAATATCTGAAGAGAACTTAAAGAGCATAGAAATTAATAAGATGGGTGATATTTATACAGAATTTAGAAGATAACTTAAAAAGCATAGAAGTCGAAAAGTGATATTTTTGATATTTTTAAAGAATTTGGAAGAGAGCTCGAAGAACATAAGAATTAATCCTATGCTTAATCTTTAATTCTGTCATTTAGATTCAGATCTATTTTATTTATTTAGAACACATAAATTTTTTTATTCAGAATAGAATCTCACCGATCTTTAAAAGAAACATAATTCAGCAAACAAGAATTTAGAAATGAACTAACTAAAATAATTGAAAGCACTCATTGATTGAAAAGACGTCTTCATGACCAAGATCCTAAAAGATCTCTGTTTACATCATTAAACTCCACAATAAAATCAACTGAAATTCTTAAAATATAAAACTCCTACAAGCTTTACTCAGAGACTTATTTGAGCCCATGATCTGTTTTAATATATATATGTATCCACAATTAAGCAGTCTCTAACGTTATTCGAAGATTCGAAACCACAAATTTCGATTTTATTATTATTATGTTGAGGCTAGTTGAGTCAGTGCACCTGAGCACTTTTACTCTCTATTAACAACGAGGTTTCTTCAAAACCCCTCTTTGCGCCCTTGACTGGATTATTGTTTATCACTTCATCAGACTAAGCAATAATTGACGTCAGATCTGCATATCTCCCCAAGGAGGCTGTAACCATTCTGAGATTCGATAACGCGGTGTTAGTAAGGCTATCATATTCCGCAAATAATTTTAGGGCTCTATCCTTTATGTATTTTTGATGGGATCAATCTTGATGTGCCTGAGGATGTCATTAGTCCTAATGTACCATGGAACTTTGAAAAGTTTTCTCAGAGCCTGGTTTTGTGCAATTTCTAACTGGTGAATAGTAGTGTTTGACGCTAAACGCTACACAACCATATAGAATTGACGGATGGATTTTTAATATAAGAAAAAAGTTGATAAGGTAAGGTAACTTAAAGCGAACAGTTAAAAAAATTCTCAAGAATTATGTTTCTCGGTATACTTTGAGTATATTAACTTACAGATATTTTTTCTTAAATTTATTAATTAAAAAGCTTAATAGTTGTTTATTATTTCTACTAATTTATTAAAATTTTGTTTTTCATATCTCAATATATCTCTTAAATTAATACTCAATATTGTTCTGTGAATATTTTGGATAAACAATACTACGTTTATTATAATCACTACTTGTACTATTGATTTTATTCTTAGTAAGTAAATCGTTTTCCACTATTACTGGATTATTAGGTTTATAATCGTAAGCCATCCACATAAATATCATCATATCGGCAAACATCAGTCCCGCAAATAGGAAGAACTCATTTGCTTGTGAGTTGAAAATTTTCGCTTCTGCAATTATGACCACAATCACATTTCCAAACGCAACGGTTAATAACCAACAGGCCTGCAAAACAGTTTTCATGGCCATTGGCGCCTGAGAATATGAAAACTCCAAACCAGTAACTGAGAACATTACTTCACCCAGTGTTAACACAATGTATTGTGGTATTAACCAAAGTATACTGATTGAATTTGGTTCGGTTATTGTTACCATTTTAGTAATCACTATATTAGCGTTGCCTATAATTAATGCATACACCCCGCCTTGATCCAATGCCTGCTGATGCACCATAATCTCGTCTACCATAACCATATATTCCGTAGCACGCAATTCTAACTGCTTTTTATTATCAGCTTTAAGTTTGGAACTTATAGTGCCCGATTTTGCTTCCTTCCAAACAATATCATGAAACTGGTTCACATTAGCCAAGGTGCGCACCAATGCAGCACCACGTGCTGATTTATCTACTTTGTCCTCAAACCAATACAGTGGTTCACTATTATGTTGAGGTTGTATGAAGAGGCTGTAAGCTGTAGCATCTTTGAATTCATGTGCTCTTTCGATACTTGAGAATTGTGGGCACTCTAAAAGTTTTAGGTGTAAAAATAAAAGTGAAAATACATTTAAAGTTAATAGAGAAACCTTCGCTTCTAGAAATTGTTACCCTACTTACAAGTTCACTAGTTTAACGACAGAGTGTTCTTCGCTTACCTTCTTTTTCATTGTGCAGTTGATATAAGAATGTAAAATTTCCATTTTTTATTGGTATGAATTTATCCTCATAGGCATTAAGAGCATTCACAGTGAACGTGGCATTTTCCTTCAAATTCGTTGAAAAGTTGTAATCACACCCATGCACGCCATTAAATATCCTCAATTGCGCATAGCCAGCACTAGGTAAAATCGGATACGTTTTCTAGGCAAAGTATTGTGTATTAAGGCATATATAATATTATTTAACAAAAGTGAGTAAATAATTTTAAAAACTAGAAATAATTCAAATCGAAACAAACTCTTTTAATTATCATTAAGATTTATATTTATTATGTTGTCATAACAAAGACACATGATGCTTAGCTATTTAAGTACGCAAAATGATATAAATTATTACATGTACTATGAAAAATATCAAGTTCCTTCTTATATTATATATATACAATAAAATATTTTACTTAGAATCTATAACCAATGTTAATCATCGGTCTCTTTGGCTTTATTATCGACGCCCTCCAGTGGCTGTATTTCGTGATTTGCCTTAGTCAATGGTTCAGTTTCTTCGTTCTTCATAGGATCATTTGGCACATATCGGTACGCCAAAAACATGAACACAATCATATCAACAAACATAAGTCCCGCGAAAAGGAAGAATTCATTTGCTTGTGAATCGAACAAAGACAATTCGGCTATAATAATTACAATAACATTACCAAATGCAACTGTTAGTAACCAACAAGCCTGCAGTACAGATTTCATTGAAATTGGTGATTGTGAGTAAGAAAATTCAAGTCCCGTCACAGAGAACATAACTTCGCCCAAAGTAAGTACCACATATTGTGGTATAAGCCACAAAATGTTTACGGAATTTGGTTCTGTCACTTCAATTAATTCTGATTGGAATGAGCCATCTGCCGTTTGAGTTGTTAAAATGGTATATACACCACCCAATTCCAAACTTGTCTGAAAGATTTCCTTATCCCCAACAAGAACTTTATACTCTCCTTTACTAAATTCTGTTATGTTATGCTGGTAAGCATCTTCTTGATGTTCAACAGTTTCTTTTTTTGCTGTTTTCCATGTAATTCGACTGCCCTCGGCTACGTTTGCAAAAGTACGCGCTAAAGGACTTCCTTTCGATGGTTTCTCTACAAAATCCTCGCCCCAATGTAAGGGAGTTGATATATTCCTATTTCCTAAAAATAAATAATAAGCTTTCTTGTCCTTCATGGCATATTGTTGATTTGTGTAGGATTGGCAACCTGAAAGATATTATGATATATTAGAAGTGAAAAACATGGAATATAGTAAAATCGTTACTTACCATCATCGGTTGATTCAATCTTAAAATCGATATTAAAAACACCGTTAACAGTTATATCCTTATTTGTATAAACATTTCGTTCTTTTAGATCAAAACTATTTAGACCTGGTATGTTAGTAGTAATAGTGTAATTGCAAGAATTGCCGTTATAAATACGTAATTGTGCATTATTCTGCATAGGAAGAACAGGATAGGTATTCTAGAAAGGAAAATAACAAAGATTGAAAAGCGTTAGAGTAGAGAATAATATAGTCATAGAGCAAATAATTATAAAGATATATAATATATATATATACATATAACAATTGTATGTTACAATAACATAGGTATACATATAATAGTTGTATGTTATAATAACATATAACTATTACTGTTATAAATTATATGTTGATACAATTTATCTCAACTAAGTGTTTGGAAAGTATAAAGTATAGTTCAAGATACTAAAAAATATATGAGGTTGAGATTGAAGTAAGTGAAAGATATCATTATACATAACAACAACGACATACTCAGAAATTAACTTCGAAAATTACAAACCGATAATTTTTTGGAGGTTATCCCCTGGATTATTTTTAATAAGAGATCGACTAGTTCGTCTGGATCCCAGTGAATCAATATTATAATAAGTGCGCACATTCGATCACAGCCAAATGATGTGTAAATCAATGTTCTTGCTGCTGTGATTGGGAGAGTAACCAAATTTAGAGGTAGATACTTCGTTACCAGAAAATATATACAATGAACTTCAAAACCACAATATTTTTATTAGCTTTTTACATGCTTCAAAATTCTAATATATAGTCAGTTGTGTGTACAATATATATATATATCTAAGTAACTTAAACCTCTATACTAGTCTGATCCTACAATAAATATCTTCCACTCAAACATTTAATATTTAAAATATATGTACAATGTAATGTTGTACATGCAAATATATAAAAAATACTAGAATCGTTCACAAACAAATATCGTAATATCTGATATCAATTAACGTATAATATAAATCTCATTAAGCACAGTTTTTCATCTTACCTCCAGATTAAGTTCGACTACAGCTGATATAATGAACGCAACGCCAGCTAAGATTCCTCCTAAAGTCAGTTTTTGCAATGGTCTACTGACCCCAATTAATCGCAATGCTGGATAGAATGCAACATCATAAAGCGGAATGAAAACCAAAATTAACAAAGGATTAAGCACTTGCACTTGATCAGGTTTTATATCCCATGAGCCCATATCACCGTTCATACGCGTTGCTTGGAAAGTCCAACGAGAGCCTTGCTGATCGAAGAGGGCCCAGAAAACCGGTAAAGGCAAATACAATACCAAAACACGCATTAAAACCTTCACATCTTCGATAAGTTGTCTATCGTATTTCTTGTCAGCATAGTCTAGCCAGTGTTCACGTGGGTTAGTTTTCTTCTCCTTCCATTTTGTGGAAATAGCATTCTACAGTCAAAATCATAACAAAAATGTAAATAAAGGGTTTTCTGCATTCACAAAATTATTCAATAAACTTACTCCAATTGTTTTGCTGACCAAAACAACCATATTGCCTGCTGGTGGTTTGCTCTTATACAAAGGTCTGCCAAGCACAAATACAACTAAGATAACATATTAGTGTTGAGAGGTAGAAATTATCATTTATAATTTAAGAAATTCTTACTTATTGACACAATCATCAAAATCGCTGGTACGCCAAATGCCAATGAATAACATTCCTTCTCACCAAAACAATGTACATCTTCACGCAGGATGGGTGTAACACTTGTAGAAATCAATGATCCCGAATTGATTGTGAAATAGAACAAAGAGAAAAACGTTGTCATCTGCTTAACTTGTTCGGGTAGCTTAAACTGATCTCCACCAAAAGCAGATACACACGGTTTTATGCCTCCAGAACCCAGAGCGATTAACGTTAAACCGATCATCGTAAACGTTACGCCTGGTAAATGCAAAGGCGGCATTGCACCCAAAGCAACCATTACCGATCCACAAACATACACCATCGAGAGATACATAATCGTTTTAAATTTGCCAAGCCAACTGTCTGATATGATAGCACCCAAAACGCAAAGGAAATAAACGGCCATTGTGAATATATGGAAAATAATGGTGGCAGCATCATCACTGTAGTCAAGTTGTCGACTCAAATAGAGTACAAGGACAGCTACAAGGAGTGGTATTGTTGATATTATTATTAGAAAAGAAGAAAATTGATATTGGTTTCTTTATACTCACTTCGCATGCCATAGTAATTGAAACGTTCACAGAATTCGTTGCTTATAATGAAGAATATGGACTTGGGATAAGGAAGTTTCTAAAAATTGAAAAAGATTGTAAAAATTTAATTATGAACTTTATATGAATATGCGAAAAAAATATGTGCATACTTTTTCCATATATTATTTTCTATAATATCTATACATTTATAATATCTATACTATGGCATATCTATACACTATGAAAAAAGTTTTTAATATTTAGTATAAAAAGAATTTATTCTTTCTTAACCAATAAATCTATTGTATATTGAATTACTAGGTATACAGAACTCGAGAATTGAAGAGTTCATATTTTTCTCTAAATTAATATTTTTGAAGGATTATTTAATTGAATTAATTGAAGAAAAATATGTCTTTTTTGGTTATGTCTACTATATGTTATAACGTAATAACCTCAAAACTGCTTTAATTAAAATCTGTAAGTTTTTGATTTCTTAAACCCTTTACATACAATTTATATAAAAGTCTTATAGAAAATAAAAATCACATGAAAATGTTTACATATATCACATTCTCTTTAATTTTAATAAAAACCTTTATAATACGGTTTCCATTCTCTAAAAGTCTATAAATACTTTAAAGAACTTTTTTTACCTTAACTTGCCCTTCAGCTTCAGACACATTCTTAGGGTCGGTTAGTGTATTATCTTCACTTGATTTCTCAATGAGGTCATCACTCTTTGCAGTCTTCTCTTCCACTGGTACCATACTTCTTTCTTTTAGAGCACTAACATCAGTTGCGTCATTATTCTCAGTTGCATCGGTTTCATTAGTTACATCCTTTATTTCGTTGACATCGTTAATATTAGTTGTATCACTGGAGCCGGCGCTATTAGCGTCATTTCCGCCTTTATTTTCTGAAAGGACATAAAATATATGTGTTTTTGTAGTTTCATATATAATTTTTTTAATATAATCCGTAGACTTTCAAGGATATATTTTCAATTGTTCTTTAATATTATTGCGTATATCATTGAATATAAAAATAAATAAAAAAATTTCATATATAAGAATACATGCACATGGATTCAAATAATAAAACTGATATCAAATGTCTGATAGCCTATTTGGTTATTACACATTTATGTATATTTAATAACCTTATTAATCTGACATACTATCGAAACAAATATAATAAGCTTTATTTACGACCTGAGAATATTTTCAGTTTTATGGACAATAATATAAAAATGTACACTCGTTATGTATAATAATCACTTTGACTAAGCGGTGTATTACGTTTTTATTTAATATTATAAATAACTCCTACACGAACGTAATGCGCTGTTAAGATAATATAAATTTGTACTTTTTATTAGAGATATAATCATGACATAATACTACCTAGTATTGGCACATAATAAAATGCTTACGTATAGAAAGATTATTTGAACAGCAATTAAATAATATAATTTTTAACCGGATTATTGTGGATATATTTGTAGTAATGTTTCAAATGGTTTCTGCATTGCGATGCTTGATTAGTTCAGCTGTACTTGAAATCGAACATTGCAACGAATGTTTGTCGAATTTGTGAAATGATATCGAAAGCTCAGAGCATATTTAGCACTTAGATGCTGCTATTATGTCCCATATATATTCCGAAACAGCAAAAACTTTTCTGTGTAAGTAAAGTTTCACAGGAGTAAAGGAGTAAAGCATAAGCAGACTGTAACACTCCAGATAGCTTAAGTATCCGAGACAACAGTTCTCGTAATTATCGGTATAATCTCCATTGATTCAAACTCCAATGAACAGATGAAATGCTGAAAGCAAAACGTGGTAAATAATTAAATCAATAACCAGCACATGAGTGAAGAAACCATCCAGGTTCCGATTCAAAAGGCAATTGAATAGGAAACGCTTATCTCGGATGTGAAATCGTGGACACAAAAAGATTTTTGGGAGGTTGACTACTGTAAAGCAGCCAAACTATTTATATTGTGGGAACAATGCGGAATTCAAAGTTTTATAGGATTTTAAGGCTCCGCTTCAAAAGGAAGATGGACAGGAAAGCTTATTTCGATTGTTAAATAGTAGACACAATAAAAGATTTTTGGAAAGTTAACTACTATAAAACAGCTAAGCTTTATATATTGCGGGGACAATGCTGTAGGCAAAGCTTTTAAGGCTAAGGCTCTGAATCAAAAGAAAGATGGATAGGAAAGCTTATTTTAGATGTGAAATAGTGGACACAAAATAATTTTTGAAAAATAGACTTCTACAAAGCAGCCTTTGTATGTATAATGGATAATGCTGAAGCTAAAGTTTTCCATCGAAAAACGGCATGACACATGAATCGAAACATTATTTAAAATATAAACGCACGAACGGATAATTGAAATAATATCGAAAATTTGCTTCTGAAAAGAAGAAATACCTGATTGCAAACAGAAATCACCTGTCTAACATAGATTGTAACAAGGTAACAAGGAGAAAGATTGGTTATATATGAGTAAGAATATAAAACATCAGTAAAGGACGAGAGGAATTCAATAAAAAAAAGGAATCGTTTTCAAAGTAATGCAAACGCGGACTCGAAGGGGACTGATTCCGACGAAGAATAAGAGTAGTGTTTTATTTCGTATACTGTATAGTAAGCAACAGGCGCACTATTTTGGTGAAGATCAGTTTATAGCATTGCATTCACAATTTATAAAAGATGTAAACATACCTATGTTTCACTAGAATAAAAGGACAACAGTAAGTAAAGTAAACATACAAAGTATAAAATATAAAGTTATCTGAAATATATCTATATTGAGCGTATTGCAGTGGTCTATTGGATGGTATTAGAGGAGGTGAATTTTTCTTTTCAAGAGCAATACTTCAACATGTGAATAACTTCAGATGATAATAACTGAAGCTTTCAAAAAACATATGTGAATTAAATATATATGCCCTACATACTAAATGGTCAACATCTTAGGCTATAATTATAGTGCATGATAACCAAAATTCTTTAATTCTATTGATGGTGATTTTTTTATTATCTTTTCATCTGAATGATTAAATTTAATAATTAATGCCTGTCTATACATATTGAAAACTATTTATTAGATTTAAAGTTATCGAAACAAAGGTATATTGCATACATTGCAAAGCTAATCAATATTCCTAGAACTCAGTCTGAATTGTTATCAATTTTTTAATCATTTTCCATTGTTCTAGGAATATTTTACTGCTTCAAATTAGAGATTTTTATCAAATTGACTACTTTATTTATTATTTATTATACTTAGTTGTTAACTAGTTTTTTTGGTTCAATAATGCCGTTTATCTTTAGCATTGAACCAATTTCGAAAAAACCCTAAAGACATATCGAGGGCTGAACTTTAAATTTTAAGCTATTATGAAATAATTCACAACGCATCAATCATATTAAAATGTCTCAATTACGCTTTTATCTAATGCGACCGTCTTTAATAAAATAATAAAAATGTTGCAAGCAATAAAATCAAATAACAAAAACAAAAAACTGATAATGGCAGCTTTTGTAATTGCACGTCAAAATAAGCGAATTTACAAGCGATAAGTTGCGTATGCAGCGTGTGAACAAACTTTCCTGTTATCGCTGCGAAACCGCTTATCAATGATAAGCGATTTGAAAGCGATTATGAAAAGTAGGCGAACAATACAGGAAAATATTTAGCACAAGCCTCGATACACACAAGCCAAAATATTAGTTCAAACTTTAGTACTTTGTGAATATCTTTGAGTATCTTTAACTATTGTCATATAGATTTTTTTTCTTGAGTGTATATTTAACACAAGCGTTGATACGTACAAGCCTCGATACGCACAAGCCTCGATACACACAAACCTCAATAAGCACAAGCCTCAATACGCACAAGTCAAAATATTAGTTCATAGTTTAGTACTTTGCGAATATCTTTGAGTATTGTTATATAGATATTTTTCTTTAAGTGTAACTTAGTTAGCTTTATCGGTACGCATACCTGGCAGTACGTAAATACTTCTACTTTCTTTTTAAAACATTATAAATTATAAAAATTATGATTTAAAATGTGTGCAATGTGTTTCTATGAGAAACACTTCAAGATTTATGGCGATGTGATATTACAGGTGATAATCGCTAAGTACTAGAATTATGTGTTTGTTAAGTATTTTATTTTAAACAAAGCAAGTTTAATATATTGTCATGGTTAGAAACTAGAAACTAGTTAAAATGTATAATCTATTTGAACAAAAAAACATGTTCGATTTTGAAACTCTACCTTCAAATTAAATTCAATCAAAATTACTTAAGAGATTAAATTGATTTGTTTTTACATTTTGTTAAAACTCAGGAACCTTCTAATTTTACTGATTATTTATAATGTAATTGATTAACACGTAAATTTAAGTCACGTAGTCATGAAATTGCTTCCGAGTCTCATTTTAATTCAATTAAATGAAATTAATTTAAGGATTATAATCACGTTTAAACCTTTCTAATCAATGGTTTTAATTTAATACATAATATTAGAGTATTAAAATCAATTATATTATAAATAAGCACAAAATTTTAATTTTAAATAAGCTAAAAATAATAAAATATAATAAAACTATAAATAAAAAGGTAATAGAAACATAAATGTAAAGTACAGTAATCCCCCATATAACACGGTACCCTTATAACGCGTTTTCATATTACGCGATTTCAATCCCCCGTATAACCCGGGCATTAACCTATATAAGGCGAGGATTTGTACAGTTCATAATCACTGGAAAAGAAATGACCCATAAATTAATGTATATATTCTACGTGTGTGTGCAGGCAACATCATTAAAAAATCGTATATTATAAGCTCCAATATAAGCAGAAGACAGCGTTGCTTTGTGAATAGGGGTACGACTTTAAGGGAAAAATAGAGAAGAATTTACACATTCGTTGCCACAGAGAGTTTAATGAAAGTATCTGTACGATCCTATATTGAATCCAAAAATTTGAAAAATGAAAAATACATCGATATTATTTTTTTATGGAACTTTTTTAATATTTTTATATGATTTATATTTATTAAGATTTTATTTTATTTCAAATATTCAATCTTTCATTCATCCAAAATGAGAAATCACATTATAGAACTTTGACGATGTTTTAAAACTTTGTACAGTTTTTAGAAAAATATATATAAAAATATATATTAATATGATCTTAGCAGTATTTGTTATATACCCATAAAATTAAAATCCAACAAATCTAAATTCTAAAACAAAGTAAAATGAAATCTTAACCGCTTGTCATTATTTTAATTACTAATTGATTACTACTACATTTTAAATAAAGGCAAGTCAATGCAAAAGCAAAGCAGCAATAAAATCTGTCATGCTACACAAATTCACAATGACAGAATTAATATTATCTCATGCTATTTGCATTATTTACACAGTCACTTTGATAGCGAGTACCAGACGCTCAGTACATCTGCTATAATCTGCTATCATGCTATTAAATAATTTTATAGTGAAATCTAATACAAAATTAAACTAAAATATATTGCTATTTAAAACCTTTAGCAACAAATAAGAGATTTTAGTTAATAAATCAATATATTTTTTATTATAGTTGTTTTAATAATAGGAATTTATAAGTTGTTTAATGAACACAGAATATTAATTTAAAACGTATTTACCAATATTTTTCAATATTTAACAACAATTATTTACATGGTTGTTTTAATTGTTATTAACATTATTCAAATTGTATTTATACTCATGATATTTACATCGATCTCTTGCTTTTAACTTTTTAATTTTGTAACAATATTTTAATAAATTATTCAGGTTAATAATCCCTTCCTCTACTAATAACTAATTCCTATTAGGAAGTTGCTATATAGATATGCAATTATTTCCGTTTTTTGTTATTTATTGTAACTAGTTAAACGATTTACTGAGGATTAAGCGAGTTTAATTGTGAATAGTACTCCCGAGATAGCAAAGGATAATCTTCGAAGATTCCAAGTCAATGTTACACTACTTTATTATTAATTCCTTGCACTCTTAGAACCTTGCGCAACTTAAAATATAGCATCCAAAATTTTTAGATCTCTACTATATACATATCATCTGTAAAAAAATGCATATATGTGGCCCTAAGAGAAAAGAGCAGAGTAAAAATGCATATATCGCTATATGATATATGAATTTACCTTCATACAGGAAATATATATGACATATATTTTTATGTATATGTGAGTAATATATATTTACAAAATATTTTATCTCATATAATTTGTGCTTAAATTATTTTTTCAACTAACTAACATAGCTAACATATTATAATTTCAATCTATAAATTAGAAGCTCTATATTCTCTACCTAACAGAACAGAATCACATAAATACTTTGAGTACTTCAAATTGGATTGATCTACGAATTTAACACATTTCTCTCTACAAATTAAAATTGCTCCAATGACTTAAAGCATATATATTGATATATTGAATAATATTTATTTGAAATCTTCTTCCTTTCAGTTTAAAGGATCTATCATTTATAATACATTTAATAATATTTAATAATTATAATATAATAATCAAGTTATATGCTCTTTATTGCCTTAAATTTTCTCCAATTTCTAAAAATTTTATTGTCTTCTAATTTATAAGTAATAAAAGTATTGTTTTAACTTCCAGCTAATTATTAAAAGTATTTTTCTGGAAGATAAGATAAAGTTACGAATCAATATTGTTTTTTTATTAAAATTCATATGATTTATTGTGGGAAACATCAATCAATATAATTCTTTAATAAATGCAATAGCTTGTTAAGTTTTATTTTTCTTATAATGAAATACTTTTAATTAACGATCCTTAAATATATAAATATTTTCAAATCAATCTTAATATTAAATGATTCGAGTTTCATTTCTAAAGAATAGTTTCATTTTTATATGTTGTATTCATTTATATATTATAAAATATCTATATAAAAATATTTCTATATATACACATATTTTTTTATTTATTTTTTATGTTATATGTTATTTTATGTTATATATAATAATTTAAAAAAAAATATCTCTATAACAATGTTTTTAGATATAAATATATAAATATATATATATATAAATATATAGATATAAATATATAGATATATATATATATATACAAAATAATAAAGCACAGAAGGTCCTTTCAAAAGGACTAAAATAAAAAATATATATTTAAATAATGAAAAACAATTTCATTTAATTTCTCTTTTATATTCTAAATATCTTTTTAAATAATTTTACTTATATACTATTAAGGAAATAAAATAATTATAAGTATTTAATTTAGTTTTAGAAGAACCAACATAACAAAAATGAAATCCAAACTTTAGAAGATATTTTTAAATTCTATTTATTTCAATAAATAAAATTATTATTTAATTAAAATTTAAAAAAAATTAGGTATAATTTATCTCAAATTTCATATATTACATATTTTCTTAAAATATATTATGTATGGAATGTAGAGATGCATGGCATATTTTTGACTATTTAAAGTTTAATTTAAAGTTTTATTGAATTATTATATTGCCATTTTATTCTATAAATTATGTATGCCAATTTGATAAAATATTATATTTATTAGACAAATTTGTATAGCAAAGAAACAAGGACAAAAATTTAAACTTTTAAATAGTTTCTTTTTGTCATAAAAACGCGTCACTCTCGGCAAAAAAAAAAAAATTAACATTATAACATTTCTTTTTTTTAATAAAAAAAAACTTCTAACAAAAATCTATTGTTTTTAAATTGCATATTTATATATACTTAAAAATATATAATGTGTACTTTACTTAATTCATAAAACTTACTTTGAAAACTAATAAAATTATATAAAAACTATTTTTTTACACTATTAAGATTAAAATTATATTTAATTATACACTTAAATTTTTTTTTAAATATTTTTATTACAAAATTATCTCAAAGTTCATATGTACATTAATTTAATAATTATTAAAATCACTTATAGACATTATAATATTGAGATTCAAACTTACAGACAAGTTTAAAGTTTTTTTTTCTTATTACTAATATTAAAACATTATTAATTAAAATTGGTTTTTTGCAGTTTAAATTAAAACACTTTTAAATTTCTATATATTAAATATTTAAATTATTAAATTAAATAAAATTAATACCATTCTCTTCTGCCATATTGAGTTCACAGCCACTAGTTTGTGACCATCAATCCAATGTAAATTGATTTCTACTGAACACTAGTATATACTTTCGAAACTTTAATTTTTTTAGCACATTCTCTTAATAAAAAACTCTACCGAGAAGAATTTTATTAACAAACAAAAAACATATCCTTTGAGTCACTTAATAGCGGGGAGTATTTGTTTAACACGTCTAAGTCCGTTAACGGCGGCCAACAGACTAAACAATTAGTCGTAAATCGCGGCGGATATTGAGTCAATTCGAAATATCGAACAGCACTTGAAATATCAGTTAATAAAACAAAAACATTTGTACCATTAAGTATTAACAATAACAGCTATATTAGCGATAGCTACAACAACAACAACTAGACGCTTTTGAAACAAATAATTTATAAATAAATAAAGATTAACATTCATAGGTGTTTTTTTGCCCGTAATTAGTAACAAAACGCATTGAACACTGAACTGAACTGAACTGAAGCGCGCTGAAGTAGGATGCGATAAGATTTCTTATAAACTCGAACTTATCTCAAACTTATCTGAAACTTATCGATAAATTGAAGAATTTATGGCAAATTTTATTGTAAAACACTTCAAATTGTTATGAATTAATTCCAATATGCTTTTTTTCCCTGTCAATGCAACGAGCTTTAAAGTGAAACTATTTGCTTCCGATTCTCCGTGAAGTCAACGAATAAATATTTAAAATTGTGTCAACTTGTGAATTACAAACTTTTTCTAAAGTCATTCATTCAAACAATGACAAGTTTTATATATAATGAATTATATTAGAATTAAATTATCCAATGATCAAGAGCTTTTTATCAGTCAGACTGTTTATAATGCGTTTTTGTTAGTAAAAACGGTATTTTGTTATTGCCGCAGCTGACTATTTTAATAATTATTTTATTGAGATAACTTTTACAGTACAAACAAAAGTTGCTTCACTCATTCACACAACTCGTACTCGACTCAATTTATCTGTTCATAAAAACTATATATAATGTATAAAATTTGTTTAAAAAATGCGATAAATTCTTTTTTTTTTTGGTATTCCAACAACTTTTGCTGCTCCACATCATTATCAACTCGAAATTATTTGGGCCTTTATCATTTTACTTGGTGTAATTAAATTCTATTGTTGTTCTATGTGGGCAAAGCGGGGGCGAGAGGTGTAAATTTAATTAAATGCAAAACTTAATTAAAATTATACTTGGAAAATATTTTTAGAAAGCAATTGCCTACTTTTATTTATATAAATGAAATATCATTTTTTTATATAGAGAATGACTACTGATTATAGTCGTAACGGTAAAATAGTAGCGACTATTTACATTATAAACATAAGTTACATTATAAACATAATATAAGTACATATATAAGCAATTTTCTAAACAAATTACTCTATTTTCTAATTCGATGCCATGTCAACGATATTTCGCACTTTTAGTCGTCTTGGTTGTTCATACGAGATTATGATGTTAACAGCTTCTATGTGTACTTGTTGCTGCAACCTCAGTTTGTAATATTTTGCTTTCTTTTTATTTCTTCAGCGACTGTGGATAATTTTAGATCGCGGTGTATATCGCTGTTCCTAATGTACCATGGCATTTTTAAAATATTCCGTAGAATCTTGTGCTGGAAACATTGGATTATTTCGACGTTACTTTGGCTAGCGCTCCCCTATATGTTAGTTCAGCGCCATACGACCATTCAGGTTTTAAAATTAATTTATGAAGTAAAATCTTGTTTTACATTGTGACCGAAAAGTTTCCGGAAAATTTTAAATAAAACGCAAAATTCTTAATCTTCATCAATATTTATTTTATCTCCTTCAAAATATGCTCCATTAGAAGCGATACACAAATGCCAACGTTTCTTCCAATCATCAAAACATTTTTTATAGGCGCTTTCCGGTATGGCTTTGAGTTCCCTCTGCGAATTCTGTTTTACGTCTTCTATGGATTCAAAACGCGTTCCTCTGAGTGGTAATTTGAGGTTGGGAAACAGGAAAAAGTCACACGGTGCAAGATCAGGTGAATACGGTGGCTGTTCGATGGTATTTATTGAATGTTTGGCCTTAAAATCGTTGATAATGTTGAACAAATTGAGGTGAATCGGAACAAGCCGGGCGTTGACACGTCGCATACACAAATTGTCCACCAAAATCAAACGAGCCATCTCACGACCGATGCCTAGCTCTCGTGCTATCTCTCTAACACTCACATGAGGATTTTTGAACACGATTTCCTTTGCCTTTTCAATGTTTTCGTCGGTGGTAGAGGTCGAAGGTCGTCCAGAACGCGGCATGTCTTCGACGGTCGTACGACAGTCCTGAAAGGCTTTGTACCACTCATAAACTTGAGTTTTCGATAAAACTGATTCCCCATAAGCCTTTTGTAGCATTCGCAACGATTCTGCACACGAAATTTCGTTCGAAAAACAAAATTTGATGCAAACTCTTTGTTCAATATTTTTTTCCATTGTTTTTTTCGCAACGCACTACTGAGGTGAACTGGTTTCAACAGCTGCCGTAAACGAACTGTCTGACAGATCGCGCTCATTTTTGGCATAGTAATTGTCCTTAATTGCTGCCAAACTACATAAACTTAAAATATCGAAAAATATACAGCGCGCGAATTTTAAATGAGAATTTCCGAAAACTTTTCGGTCACAATGTACATAGATAGTGTGTATGGTATCTGAGTAGCTTGAATCGCAATAGGAAAGTGTTGTATTGTTTGATACACCATCTTTTTGCCCAATTGTCTAACGAATCCGTAGCTGTTTGTAATTTGGTTATTGATTTTTCAGCGGAGTCAGCAATCGCCAAAATTACAAAATTACAGTATTATTTCCATTACAATTTACTTTAAACAAATTTATTGCCAATTTTAACGACACTTTTTCGTTGTGATTGCGATTTACTGGGGTATCCTCAGCCTCACCAGAATCGTCAAAATAAATTATTTAATTGCAACCAAAATATTTAAAAAGACCTTGACATTTATATTTTTTTTTGAGTTTGCGTTTTATTTTTAAGTATAATTAATTAAAATTTGGCAATTAATTAGTAAATAATGTAAAGGTTACTTATTTTCTTCTAGAGACAAGCAATAACCCAGAGAGTCCTAGGCATGAGGTTTCGTAGGGATGTTTTCTAGATTATTCTTCTTCTAGTGGCTTGTTTATATGGTTATTTATTAACGTAATATATCAAAACTATTTCACTTATAGTTGACGGAACTCAACCAAACGAAATGTTTAAATTATGCTTTGTGTAGCAATCCCAAGTGATAGTTTTAGTTTACATTTATAAACTCTACCATTCTGAACCCGGCAAAAGAAGTCCTTTTGATTTTGGTGTTGATAGGCTTAATTTATCACATATTACATACGTCAGTAATAGATCCATTTTTCATTACTAGTAATAGCACTGCAAAAAACATTATCTTGCTTCCCTTTCGATTACTAACTCGCAATCGTTTTTCGATATAATCTATCGAACCCTATCTCACATTGAAAATGATACCCAATTTCGTACTATAGGTACTATTCTTTTCACATGTGGGCATTTAGAAATAGTAGTTCTTTCTTCTTCATTGCTTAATAAAATACGAGTTAGTGTTTAAAGCACTTTTTCTTAATACTGTCTGTGACTATTTAGATGATCCACTGTAATAAGAGCTTCTTTAAATTCTAATAAGTTATTCATATCATTTTATAAAAGTATACTTTGAAGCTCAGCATATCTTTCTGACGGAATATATATAGCATTTGATTTGAGAGAGTACAATTCTGAATTAGTGTGCACTTCCACTGAAAAGTAGTTATATCATTTACTTTAAAGTTATCAGAACATAGCATTGAAAAAATCTTAAAGTCCTCATAATATATCAGAATGGTAGATATTTAGGAACATTGCGAATTAACAGCAACGCAAATTACATCAATATGAAACTATTTTAGGAAGATAAATGGACATCAAACTGCCCAGCTTTCTATACTAAAGACGTAGGGTAACCATATAACCATATAATATATTTACTTATTAACATACTAAACGTTATCTTGTATCATTAAACCGTAAAACTTAACTATTAAGGTTAACCCATACTCAAGATAAAGAAAATCTTGTTCTAGTTTCAAGTAACAATTCACAAATCATTTTTAGACATTCAAGGTCCCTATATATTAATCGATATGGTACTAAATTTATGATATTATGAATCATTTCTTTCCCATGTGGGCGTTTAGAAATAAAAGTTCGACAACATATATCACTTTTCGGAATTGTTTCTGGAATTTTTTTCTCTATTGTAAATTCAATTCAATTATTTAAAATTTTTTCAACTTTCTATTGAAATCTTTGTCTTAAACTTTTTGAAACGTGAAAGGCATTTCTTCATGTAGTTTGCGATGAATAATACTAACCACAAAGTTTATAAACAAATCATATAATTCAGAGGTACTTTATTTTAAAATCAAGACTTCCATAAAACTTCCCAGAAATGGGGTTTATTTGATAAGTAATTCCATATATTTTTAATATTCATCAAAGATGTGGTTGTACTATATGTCAGTATTGCTAGATATATATGTGTTGTAAATCTGCTATTTAATTTTAAAAAAAAGTTGATTTTAAACCACAATTTTTTCGTTTTAAACATTAAAGAAAAATGTGGTTATTAATTTATTCATCTGTCAAAAAATATGTTTACGCTATCACACTTAATATAACAAATTTTCAGCAATAACTTACATTTTTCATATAAAATCCATACAATTTATATTTATAAATATGCTAATGAAGTAGATGTATTCTTCTAGGATCTGGAGGTTTTTCTGGTAGATAGTTTTTGGCTTATAGTTATAATGCACCCACATCATTTCAATGCAGATCAGCTGATCGTAATTGAACCATACTCCATACAAAATCCACTCGTATACTTTAAAGCAAAGAACTTTTAATGGATTTAATTATGGAACAGTAATAGGTATATTAGATATAAAATTTATATTATATATAAAAATCTTAAAATTTTAATATATTTTCTAATATAATTAAGCGACGTTATCTTGCTTAACAAAAATTGTTAAAAAAATATTTTTAAAAAATGCACTATACAGTTCCGCTAATATTGTTTTGTAGTTGAATGCATTTTTTTTTATTAAAGAGGCGGAAGAGGTTATTATATGATAAAAATTAATTTTACGACATTACATTATCAACCCGTAATCCCAACCATAAAACCTTATTAAAAATTTCATATAATAATTAATAACGTGAATCATATGATCAAAGCTGATTTATGAATAAATTTTTAACCACAGACCTATTGCGTTACATGTGTCTAAATTCTCAAGCAATTAATAAATCAAGTTGCATACTTAAGAAGTTCAGAACTGTAAAATTGTTTTTTTATTATTAAACCAATTGTTTCTAATCAAATTGAAAACTAACGATAGCAACGGAACAATGGAAGTGATATTGCTCTATTTGATAAGGTAGCAGATGACTGATTAGAAGTACTCGAATATAGTGAAATTACATACTAAAATATTATTTAATTAACTATTTTTCGAAAACAAAGCCGTTAAA